CGTCTCGCCGACCTCGGGAGCCTGGGTCCAGTACCGCGCCCATCCAGCGACCTGCAGCTCAAGCCTGGGGAGCGTCAAGAAACCGCGGGGAGCGCCAAGAAACCGCGGGGAGCCTCAGGAGGCCGTCCAAGAGCCTGAACAAGCAAAAACCTCCCAGGCATTCGTCACCCCAGGGCCTCCTGGAACGCCCCGGCGCCCAATGAATTGGCGAGCTAAAAACGTGCGCCGAGCCAAAGCGGGAGCGCAATTTTGATAAAATTTCGCTCGGCGCCCAAGCGAGAAGGTCATTTCATTCACTTCGAGCGGGGGGGGAGGGGGGTGCGCCGCGCCCAATTCTTGCCATGCACTTTTGCGGGGTGGACGACAAGAACAGCTATGTGGGCAGGGATAATCAGCATGGCATGCATGGCATTGCTTCTGACAAATAAGGTGGCCCCTCCCGCCTTGCGCGCGCGATGTGCGCCGCGCCCCATTCCTGCCACGCATTTCGCATCGTCGACGACAAGACAGGCCATGATGAAAGGGAAAACGGCAACTCTGTATTGTCTTTTACAGTCAGGATGGGAGGGCCCGCAGCCCGCATGTACGTCCGCACCGTCGGCGACAAGGCAGGCCATGCTGAGAGGAAAAAACAGCAACTCTGCATTGATTGTTTACAGTCAGGATGGGCGGGCCCGGATTGACGGCCGCGCGCGATGCGCGCCGCGTCCCATATGTGCGCCGCGCCCCATTGCTGCCACATATTTCGCACCGTCGGCGACAAGGCAGGCCATGCTGATAGGAAAAACGAAGACTTTGTATTGGTTTTTTACAATCAGGATAGGCGGGCTCAGATTGACTGCCGCGCGCGATGTGCGCCGCGTCCCATTCCTGCCACGCTTTTCGCATCGTCGACGACAAGAAAGACGATGTTGAGAAGAAAAACGGCCACTTTGTATTGATTTTTTGAAGTCCAGATGGGAGGTCCCGGATCGGGTTGCTATCGGCCGGAATACGAGGTAGGTGGGGGTATATGATAATAAGGAACTAGGATGGGGGTGCGTTCCGAAGTTACGTCTGCGATCTGAGAAAAATCGTCATCGTCGTCGTCGGCATCTTCGCCGCCGTCATCGTCTGCCTCTGCGTCACTTTCCGCCTCTTCGTTTCAGAGAGGGCGTGAGAGAGGGGGGGATGGAGGAAGGAAGACATGAGTGGAGAGAGGGAGGGACGACGACGGCGACGACGACAACGACGGCGATGACGACGACGACGGCGACGACGACGACGGCGGCAACGACGACGACGACGGCGACGATGACGACGACGGCGACGACGTCGTCCTCCCCCATCCCATCTGGGGTGGGGGGGTGGGGGGGGCCCGCCGAGTCCTGGGACCCATCCCATCTGGGGGTGTGGGTCGGACCTGGAGCAAGGATCATGTATACACTGCCACTGGGGCCTTCAGCGGAGCTACCTACGGGGGCACAGCGTTTGAGGGGTGCATTAGATTGCTGATGATGATGGAGGAGAAGGGAGGGGGAGGAGAAGGAAGGAGGAACGTGAGGCGCTGTCACTTCAAAACGAGGACCCGCCACCACAGGATGTTTGGGAAAGGGCCAATGGCGGCAACCAGCGATCGCGGCCTATGAGGGCAAAACAAACTAGCGGTATGCGACAACAGCGAGCAATCGCGGCATGGCAACATACTCGCTAAAGATTGCAACGAACTCCTGCGATAAACAAAACAAGGAACAACTGCGATAACCAGCGTTCGCGACACTGGAAGCAGCGGCAAGGCAGGGTAGCGGCCAGCGGGGGCATTAGTGCTCGCGGCAATCCTGGGCATCTCCAGGGGACTGATGCAAGTACCCCTGAGCGAGTGCGCCAGTTCGGGGAAATGATCGAAGTAGATTTGCCTGAGCTTCGGACTACCCATGCAGCTGCGAAGTGGTGACGCCATGGTATCAAGCCTTGATCGCAAGCGCCTTCTTCGGATGGAAGTGCGACGATATCGGCACGGCCTCCATGCCAGGGCCGTCCATGGCGGCATCCGTGTAGTCCCATTTGACGGAGCGTGGGTCCTGCATCCCGCCGAACGTGGCGCCGAAGTGGAAGCTCTTCCGCTGCCGCTGGTCCGATGCCCGGAGGAAAAAACAAAGCGAGACAACGGCGGCTCGCACGCCTGGCCCGATGCCGCTCGGAATCGGTCCCTGGACCGCTCCCGGGGTCCATCCTGACCCGCCTTTCGGGGAGGATCCAGCCGTGGCGACGAGAAGCCTTTCGGGGAGCCCGAAGAGCGCGACAAACGCCAGGGAGGACCGTCGCTGTCTCGACTGGCCCTCCTCCGAGATACGCGTCGCGCGACCTGCACCTTCTTGTAGAGGGCCCGTGCCTCTTCAATGCTGCCGTCGATGTCGAGCAACCGCTCGAGATCTAGGGACGCCTTTCGCATGGGGGAAGCGGCTCCTGAGTGAAACGGGTCCTGGACCCGGGAGCCTTCCCCCCAAAACCGAGTCTTTCATCCTGCGCCGTTTTCTGAAAGGCCCGAGGCCCGTGGAGGGCCCCGAGCGCCAGAAACCGGCGAAAAGCATACAAACCAATTTCCCTCAGGGCCCGATCCCAGACCCCTGGCGTCGTGATTTGTTCACAACGTCGATCCCCAGATGTCGCGCTGAGTCGTGATTTGACGATCACGAGCACCGGTAAGGGCCCTCGGGGGCCGAAAATAACGAAAAACATCGCGTCGCCATTCGCTCACAACTGAATATCGTTTAACCGATCCCCATCCCCAGCGGCGTGGCCTCGGCCCCACTGGCCGATTTGCCCCCCTACATGGGGATCTAGGCTGTTCCCTTCGGGCTTCGAGGCGTGTATCCCCAACTAGGGGGGGTGATTTGGTGGGGGTCTCGAAGGGGGATGGGGGTGGCGATGGGGATCGGTCAAACGACACCGAATAGCGTCCCTCGGGACCCGCTTCCCCCAGGGGCGAGCGCCTGCACGAAGTCCTTCTGCTGCGCGAAGGCCTGCGCGCGCCGGAACAGCGCCTTGCGGCTCTCCGGCTCGGCCGCGAGCACCAGGTCGCACGCCCGCTTGGCGCCCGCGGGATCAGGAGGAGCAGGGAGCGGCACAGACACACATCGGAGAGACGTACACCCTGCGAAATGCTTAAGAAATGATGGGTTAAGAAATTCATAGTCTCAGAACTTGAATAAAAACCCAAAATTTCTATCAAAATCTTGGGATTTACATTGAAACATTAAGAATAATCGAGACTCTGGTCGAAAACTTAAGTTTTCTTAAGCATCGACTAAGGTGTAGGACTCGGGTCACCCCGGCGGAGGCAACTCGGCCGCGCGAGGGAGGGTGGGGGTAGGGGGGGAGGCTTCTCAGAAGCAGGCCTGCTTCTCAGAGAAGGCGTGGGCCTTGTCTGTAGGTGGAAGGTCCGCGCCTTCGACGAAGCAGCCTCCTTCTAAGTAGCCTTCCCCCCTCCCCCTACCCCCTCTGCGCGCCGCCGAATAACGAGGCTCGGGTTGGCCTGACCGGGCCGTCAGGGAAATGACGAGACGCAGTCTAAAATTTGATGAGACGTAGGCCGCTGCAAACGTCCCACAACAAAAACTGGACCGTCGAAGTCCCGGACGGACTCGTCAAACAGCGTCGGCAAGCCCGAGTTCCGTCGAACTCGAGCCTCGCGCTTCCCCGAACAAACTTTGGTAGCTCCGCGCAGATCTCTTGGATCGGCGCTGGACCCCCCTGGCGGCGCTTCCAGCACCGCACCTGGCGCGCTCTGGCACGCCAGGAAGTGTCGGGGATCTTCTGACCCGTATTAATCCAGACCAGTGTCGGTCAGTCAGGCCTTGCAGAATCCTGTAGAATCCTGCAGGATCCTGCACTCAGACCCTGGTCAAGGCGAAAAGATCCTGCAAGATCGTGCACCCAGACCCAGGTCAGTGCGACCCTGGCCCTGCAGGACCCTGCAAAATCGGGCGCTCTGGCTGACCCCCGCCTGCATTGGCCCCCTCGCAAGGCTCCCGAAGAGCGGGAAGCAGCGCCGATCCGGGAAGTTCGCACGGAGCTCCAGAGGTTCGTGCCTATGCCGCCTGCTGTCCCTCGAGGGATCGCCGAACTTCAGGCAGCAGGCCGCCATGTTGAGCCGGCAGGCGCTCCTGAGCTCCCTGCAGCTCTGGGCGAGCTCGGGCTTGCCCAGGAACCTGTCCGGCGCCATGCTCAAGCCGGCCTGAGAGAACTGCGCGTTTTTGGGCGTGGCATTCGACTCCCACCTAGCCGCCTGAGAGAACTGTGTGTTTCGACTTAGGACAAACACGCAATGCTCTAAGTCTGCTTCGAAGCCGATTCTTGTTTGGAAGCCGAATGCGACTTTTGAAAAACACGCAATTCTCCCGGGACGACTTGAGCATTGAACCTGTCCCTCACTGGGCTGACGGTACTCCCTTTGGGGCGGTCCAGGTGGTGGAACAACTCCTCAACGCGCCGGTACCGCTCGTGGGCAAGCCGGAAGCGGCCCTTCTTGAACAGCGCATTGGCGATCGCCTTGCGCCGCTCTCCAAACTTCAGCCTCTCCTCCTCCGGGAAGTTCCAGACGTCTGGGCCCTTCGTGTAGTCGAGGAGCGTCACGCGGTACGTGGCCCCTCCCCCTGGGGCAGCCTCCAGCTCGGGCTGGCCGCCGGCGCAGAAGGCAGGATCCGAGCAGGTGACCAGCGCCGTCTCGTGCTGCCGCATCTCGAGCACGGCGCACTCGAGAGCGTCGCAGACCTGTCCGTTGCCAGGGACCACCCACTGCTCGATGGGAGCATCACCGCCGAGCGGGTACAGTCTGGTGCCGTCGTCGGTCGTGACCTCCTCCACGCGTAAGAGCGCCGTCCCCTCGTCGGTCGGAGTGTCGCACCATGCCCCCACGCCCTCCTTCACTACCTCTTTGAAGACCTTTCCCCCTCCCTTCTGGAAGGAACAATCTCGCGTCTGGTAAATCTCGAAGAGCCTTGCCTCGCACACAGCACGCG